ATATATAAACAAAAATTATTAATAAAATAATAAAAATGCTATTTTGAAACAAAAATTTCTAAATTTTGTGTTTTTCTACAATACCTTCTATTGGCATTATTTTCTTTCTTTTCAATTTTCTTAAGCCATACTTGCATAAATTGACTGTAGGTATCAGTTAAGTAATTTTCCTAAAAAAAAGTTATATCAATAAAAATATTTTATAAGTCTCAAATGTAAAAAATTAATTATGGTGCAGTTACTTGTATGTCTAAGAATCTACAATCAAACAAATTTTTGAGAATGCATTTCATAATTCTAGATAAAATCTTTCATTTATATTACGAGTCAGGAAAAAAAAAAAAATACAAATAAAAATGTAAAAAAAATTATTGAAATATTACTAGTGTTTTAAACATAAATGAATTTAAATGTTTTGAAAACTTAAAAATCACTATTTGATAATAAGTTATTGAACCTCCGTTTACAAAGAATTATCTTAAAATTTTATAAATAAGATAAGAAAAATCTATCTTCATTACTGTAATGGCATCTAAGTTTGTAGTAATAATCCAAACAAAAATCTTTTAATTATCTGCTTAGTGAACATTATGAAGCAAAATTTTAAAATATTTTCAGATAATTCAGATATTTTTTAAATTTACTTATTTGTACAATTCTCCAAAGATCACACACAAATCTTATTATACGCAAGTTACACAAAATATTAAACATCTGTAAATATAATTAAAAAAATATATAAAGTGGAAACATAATTTGTTAAAATAGCATTAAACATGGTTTAATTTATTGATTTATAAAAAACAAATTGATAAAAAAATAAAGTGAAAAAACAATATAAATTATTTATATTAATTCCTTATTCATAATAATGGATTAATTGAAAAAAGTAATTTAAATAATTAATAAAATTGAAAAAGTGTAACAATATTTCTTTCAAACAAACAGAAAATATACAAATAAAATTAATAGATATTTACTACAACAGAATGAATGAAACAATGTTAAAACAATTTCAGATAAAAATACCTCGATACAGCTCAAGACTATCATGAACAAATCTTTCAATCAATCAGATATAATAAAACCTTGATTTAATAAATTAGTATGAAAAAGATCAATCAACCAATGTGACACACCGACATCTTACAGGTTATATGGCCAGTCGTCACACATCCATTATATGCGTGAGGTCTGGCCTGTAATTAGATTAGTGCCAAGCATCGATTACCTGGGTACTCAAAAGTACTCAAATATCCGATCAAATATTAAGAATATCTAAAAGAATACCATTAATACAAAGAATTCCAAGGTTAGGTTTGTATTCTTAATGGTTTTTAAAAAAAAAGTTGTACAACGTATACTGTCAAAATTTCTGAAAGATAATATGCTTTTAATTGGAAAGAAAACTTGTAACAAGCAGTACATTTTTATGATGTAACAAGATACAAGTTCTTAAAGTAATTTAATTAGAAAGAAACCAGTAGCAACCAGTACCATTTTTACAATACACGATACAAGCCCTTTGAGTAATTTTATAAGATGGTAAAAATATTGTAAACGAGACTAAAAGTACCATATAAGTGTGAAAATTAGATGATATGAAACTCATGGAACTCTTAAGCACTGAGGAGGAGCTAGTAAATTAACCTAGCTCGAAATGCATCTGTAAAAAACAATAAAAGGAGTTTATAACCTGAATTGGCTGTGAGGTAGTCTACCGGAAAAATTTTTTCAGATTGAAGAGACATTCACTATATCAATTAAAAATTTTACAAAATTTTTTAAAATCCATATTAGATTATCATGAGCCTACTCAAGTTTATAATTTTTGATACTAATGCAGCATTTTAAAAATAACAAAATATTTTAAAATTTAAATATGCCAATTGGTATTATACTACAGGATTGGATGGATCTTTGAAGTGTTTTATGACACGCCTGTTCGTGACTCATTTTGTAATAATTCTTTGCATAAGCAATTAATATTGGTTTTAAAATTCTTATATAGAATATTTTTTAAAAATAAAAATGGAAAATAATACTGAGTAAAAATTTTAGCATTAGTAATAGAATTTTAAAAATTATTTGTAACCATCAATAAAAAAGTTAAACATATGCAGTAATTGTAACAACATTAAAAGAAAACAAAATACACAATGTGATCACAATTTATCTGGTCTAATTTGGAGCAATTTTGAAATATCTTTTAATAAAAAAAAAATAACAACTCTTATTAAATGTGTGAAAATCAAAATTAATTCAGTATAACTTTGTGTGTGGTTTACAAAAAGGACATTCAAAGTTAAATCTTTAGCTGTAGTAAAGAAAAAGAAAACCATGAAAAATTTTTTAACTGATTACAAAATTTTCATGTAGTGTGTGTATATATCACAATGATAAATTAGTTCTTTATACTTGACATAAAAAAAATTGAGTTGGTTAATATACATTTAAAGACAAATCTTCTGGAATTTTAATATATTTATACTTTCCCAAATGTAACTTCTGGCAAATCATACTCACACATTAAGTCAACATTTTTATGTACTGTCTATGGTTAACTGATTGATGGCTAGTTGATTTTAATATTCTTATCATCAACTCTTCAGACTTAAAGAATAATATCCATCTTTGTTTCAATTGGAAAAGAAAACCATTAACTAAATTAACCAATAGAAATTATTGAAGTCAGGAAAACAATAAGCCTTTGAGTACAAAATGCCCTAAGGTATGCATTATCCCAGTTTGCCTTCCTGCAAATCTCCTACAGTATAATTCTATTGTTATTACATATATATTTATTTAAAACAATTTTTTGTTTCAGAAATTCTCATTTAATTTAAATTTTGGTGAATGTTTTTAGTAAAGGTAAATATTATGAGAAGAGTTTCGTATTCCACAATATAACATCCTTTCTTCTGTAAACTCAAAGCCTTCACAAGGACTCCTGGGATATGCAAACTAGAGGTCAAGAAACATAGCATCACCCGAATTATCTTGGGTTCCCAAGCATAAAACAATGGTAATAAATACAACAATTTCTGGCATTCAGCACAACCCACAATGCAATTGACCAAGATGTTCACGGAATGGGGAATAACACCTCAATCTGTACTATCAACAATAAATTGCTGGTATCTTTGTATCAGAGTAAAAACAAATCCTCAACACGGTAGGATAACACCTTATCAACTAGACAACATGCAGCAGAAAGAAAATATTAAAGCTTAATTCAAAAGTTTAGAAAAATAGACCAACATGTATTATTTTTCATTCTATTTGCTAGATAAATAATTATTCATTTCACTTCATATTTGGCAAAAGAAATGCATAAAAAGTAAAGCCCATCATACAAAATATATAGGATACATTTTTGCACTAAAAGATGATATCAAACACTTAAAATGGGAAATGAAAAATGTTACTTCACAACTTTTCATTCATAATAAATATGATACATAAATGTAAAATTAAAATACACTTCATTTTAAAAACAAATTTCTTCATATTGTAATATTTTACTAATTTCATGCATATATATTATTTTATTTTTAAATTTCAGTACATTAACTAACTATAATTCCAAAGACTATGAAAAGTATGGCATTTTTTCTGTCAACAATTAACAAAGATACTGAGGAGACCCCAGAGAGATTTGCATTTAAAAACACTGACATCCATACATGGAAAGTAAACTTTTCTCAAAACTATTTAATTTACCAAAATATATTAATATTAAATGTTTGTTAAAAAGAGATATAAGAAAACACTTACTCGGATTTGTCTTTCTTGATGTTTTCTTTTAAAATACTGTATTAAGCTCTTTTTGAATGTTGCAAATCTGAAGACAACAAAAAATCTTGTAAATAATAAGTTCGTTCAACTTTATTCAGAGATGTTTTTAAAAATATAAGCATTTAACAAATAAAAGCAGTTCTTTGACACTGCTTTTTTCTACACTCCTTAATTGGGGCCAATTTTTCTCATTTGACATTGTTGTTCACGTTTTGTTAGCACAGCAAATGGATCCTGCCTACTATTAGCCACAGATTTATATTGCTCCCCAACTCTTCTCAATACCAGCAATATAACAGACCTCATATAAAAGCATTCTTCTGGACCTTCAGTTAATTTTATAGCATGGATACCCAATTGTGATGATATTTCCACCTTATCCCTATAGTTACATAGTACATTTATAATCATTAGGTTGCATTTAGCTCCTAGCCTAAGATCCACTTTATTAACATAAGGGGATGCCAATACTGCTACACTTTTCCTTTAATGATAGAAGTTACTTTCTTGGTTGCTTTTATTCTTTGTACACTTGTTCTGTTGATTCATAAGAAAGTAATGATTATAACTTTTGTGCATGATTTGTTCAGTGATTTTCTGTAATTATTATTTATATCTAGATTCAATTGCTATAAACCGATCACATACAGTAACATTTATAATGCACAATTTGTGTATTTTTGCACTGAAGTTTTATCGAACAACATTTGATAAATTTTTTAGTTGCACCCCCTTGCTAAATTTCTGGCTACACTACTGACATCAGCATTCAATTTAGCACTTTAAAGCAGTCATATAGTTACTTGACAGTGCTAAATTGATAATACAACTATTGTAAAATTATTTCTAATAAGATATTACTCAAACTTCCTTCACAAATGTTATGTATTTTTCTGAAGTAAAGTTAATGTATAAAGCAAAGTCCAAAAGTTTCCATTCTTGGTTGTATACGAATAAACTTAATGAATTATTCACATTCTCATATCCCACAGCTATTATTTTGTGACCACTAACTTTTTAGAATGCAATCAGAAATTATTTGATAGCAGTTAAAGAAGTCTGCATTAAACAAAAACATTCAAAACTGCCACAGCAGACTAAAATACTTTACAACCAGTTATTACCGGAAATGAAACTAGAGTCTTATATTATCCTTTGGTCTAAAATTACTAGAAAAGACTTTTTATAAAGGGATTCAGCTGGACAAGGAATGGTTTCGTCGTCAACCAGTTGATAGCTGTCATTTTGTAACTGTAATAATGTCCTGATGATTGATTTTAAAGACAGAAATAGTCTTAAACAGCAAATATTGTGTTTCTTTATTAATACACTACAAGATTTCATCACAAAGGGAGATGAGGCAAACTGAATTAAAAAATGACAATGCCCTCAGTTCATACTATCCACTTTGCAAAGATTTCTTGAATTCTGCTTCATAAAATTAGCCACCTTCCCTATAACTCAGACCCAACCCCAAATGACTAGCATCTGTTTTCAAAATTGTAATTTCTAACTTGAGAGGGAAGCATTTCCCAGCGAGAGGAAGTAAAATCTGTTGTTTTCGGATACTTTTAGCCCAAATACTAAGCCAGTTGAAAGATGCATTTTCAGAAGTGTGAAAAGTGAACCTAGACCATTGCAAAATAATGAAGATTAAGTCTTGTATTTTTTTTGATCATCCTATTTCAACTGAAAACTTTTGGATTTTTCAATATATTTGATTATAAATCTTGTCCAGTTTAACTCCATTGAATCCTACTATATTTAAGACAGAATTAGAGTATATATATTAAAATTTATTACTGCCTATTCTTCAGTACAGACAGTAATAAATACTCTAAAGAAAAGCTGTCAAAATGAAACAGTCAAATAAAAATCTATAAGAGATGTGTATATACACAAAGTTTAAAATTTATCCATCTTCGGGTTTTTATAATAAAATAAAATTTCAGTAACAAGTTTTAAAAATTAATAGACTGATTAATATTAAAAAAAAAAACAAATAAGAGAGAAGCTTGAGAATTTAAAAATTGGAACTTTACTGAATTGTTACATGAAAAATGAAAAACCCAACAAGAATAAGCAGATGTTGAATTTTTGTCAATTTAAGTAAACTCTAAGTTTACTGTACTTTCATTTTTGCAAAAATGAATTTTCACAAAATTTTTCAAATGCAACAATCATAAATTTATCAAATAAAGTTTTTGTAGTCAATATATTCTGTAAATATTTTTAAACTGATTAAATTGTTTACTACTTACTTTTTTTTATTTTCATGGTGTATCTGAGTATCCATTGGTTGATTATACATGGGCTATTTGGAAAAATATTTATATGAAACTTTGCAAAAGATTTCTGTGTTTTTATAAATTTTACAATTATTTGAATATAGCAAACTTACCAAATCAACTTTTGGTCCGAGTTTTTCTAATAAGGCATGTGCTTGCTGAGCTTTTTTCTGAAATAAGTTGACACATTAGTAACTTCTTTCAATTTTGTACATTATATGGATTGTCCTATCTTTAAATAAAGAAAAAAGTACTAACTCTATTTTCAGAATATATAATTTGGGCTATGCTCATTTGCTTCGGCTCGCTCGTAGATATTTCTTGTATGACCTGTTTGGTGTCGGGAGGTTTATTTGCTTCAGCTTCTAATTCTTGCTGCAATGAGATACAGTAACAGTCAGTTTACTTATACAACTACAAAAATTCATACAAAATTAGAAAAACGTAATTGCAATAAATTTTATTTATAAAATGACAATGATTGAGAGAATTGCAGTAGAAGGGATTCTACAGAAAACAATTTTATTATCTAAGATTAACAGAAAATTAATGTCAATTATTTAAACTTAATTAAAAAACTCAATTTATGTTACATTTTAATTGACAAAACATTGTTTTAAAAAGCATTTACCTTCCGTTTTTTCAATTTTGATGTCTGAGTTTCGACTTGATTTATTTCTCGATCTATCCTATTTATAGCCTGTAATAACTCATCTTTCGACGATCTATGAGGAGAAAGATCCTGCTGCAATTCATCTGTTGGTAATGTAGGAGAAATTGCCTCAACTTGAGGTGTATAAGCTGGTTCCTGAAATTTGTCATTTCTAATTGAGTATTCATTAAGGAAATAATAATAAAATATAAAAGAAAAAAATCATTTTTTTTACAGAATTGAATTTGTACATTTTTCAAAATTACACATTAAATATTTTCTGTAAGGTACTTTCTCCACTATAAAATACTTCAGTTATACAATTTTGCACATATACATAATGGCTTTTCAGTATGTATAGAACATTTTCTCCCTTATACAGTATGTTTATTCACTTTGAAATAAAAAAAAATTAAAACAATTATTAAAAAAGTTAAAAAGCAAATTATATATTCACTTCAAATATTAGTCCACATGAATTGCCAACAAACGCAAGATGTAGCTACGTAACATATGACACCATTTCTGGAGAATTTTCCCATTTAGTAAAGTGCTCCACCAGTCCAACATGTTGAAAATTTTCACTTTCCATGTTTTGCAGTATAAACCAATTTCAGTAAGCAAATAAAAATCACTTTCTGGTTTCTCATACGTTTTCACTATTTACTATCACTGTCAGTTAACCTTTAGGATGGCTTTTCTTTCTTTCACTACTAAAGTTTCTCATATTGTCATTTCAACACTGAACCAATATGTAATAAGCCCATCCAGAGAATAACAAACAAAACTGAATCAATTTTAAATACATGACGTAATTTCACACTGTTTTACTTTTCTTTTTGTACATTGTTCAAATGTATTGTACATATAGTAAACTGAAAATTCTTCGTTAACAATTACAAGCATAAATTAAGTCATATAATGTTAATTTGTGCCATGTCATACTATTGCAACAACTGTATTCACCCTGAAAGAAATTCAAGAAGTTTCATTTTAATGTTTTTCTCACTTATACAATATTTACCTCAGTTCTTTTGAAAAACATATAAACAGGGCTCAGTTGTTTTATACTTTCCCTAATGAGTGTATTTCTTTATAAAGAAAAAAAAAATCTAACAACAAGTTACATAACTTTCTCGGTTGTTATGCGATTTTATTTAAAAAATAAGTTTTAGTGTATTCTTAATTATAATAAATAAAATTGTGCTTGGTACCATATGTTATGAGATTTCATTATTAAAAACTTTTTATATTTTTAATTATAATAAAATAGCAAATAGCTTAATTTTGAGGGTAGTGATGAGTTTCATAACACATTGTAAATGCTATTAATGAATATCTTCAAGTCCAACCCTGTCGAGATATGACACATGACATAGTTCTATTGTCTCACCCTCTTGACCTTTAACCACTAAAATGTAATAGCATCAATGCTCTTGTATACAAGAGCATTGATGCCACCATAACAAATTTCATTTCTTCATCATTACTCTACATCTTGAGACAGTAAATGAAATAGTTGCCAACACACATATAGAATTTTTTTCCTTTTTTTTTTTTTTTTTGACTTTTTTGGTTCAGGTGGTCTCAAAACGTGAAGTTTTGCAAAAAAACTCAGAGTCAAATTTGACACAATTCCAGTACTTTCCCTTATAATGTATATGTTACTGAGAAAGACCGAAATTAGAGAATGTCGACACATACAAAATACATCAGTAAAAGATCGAATATTTGGTTATATTATTATACATTCGTACAATCGCCAGTGTATGTGACAAGCACAGATAAGCTTTGGTGGAGGTCGAAATGACACGAGAAGCCGATGTTGACAGACAGGCAACAGTCTGTTGCCAAATTCTTTGCCATTTCCTTCAGCTCAAATTGGTGATACAGTACGAATACAAGTCCCCGATGTTGACCGCACCCGTACAGATGCCTGAAATGTGTTGGTGGTTGTTGTTAGAATAGAAGACTCAGACTTTTATAAATTAGCAGACAAAAATGGTACCCCCAAGCAGCTTTATACCTGTAATATATTTGTAATTTGTAAAGAAAAGTTACTTTCCATAGATAAGATTTCTTCTCAAGAAATATCGCCGAGAGAAGCAGCTGCAGCTAATTTGAAAAGTGGAGGGCAAGGCTATCTATACATGCTGTCATTGCAAAAAGAAGTGTTCCACAAATAAATGCAGTTGTAAAAGTGAGGGACTCTCGTGCAATTCAAAGTGCCATAACAGTTTAAGTTGTTACAATAAATAAGATTGCACAACATTAATCACATAATTTGTGTGTAAGTTTATTATTGTATTATTTTCTTTAATGATTAAGAATGTACTGTTTGTTTTAGGTTCAACAGTTTATTTACATACGCTGTTACTAAAGCTTTCTCCTATTTTGACATATTAAAAAGTTGCATTTTTGTCTTAACATCACAAACAGGAACTGGTGATATGCAGACGTCTTACTTTCCACCCATCTGGCCAATGGGGTAGTTGTGCTGTATATCTACTAGAATCTACATTTTTTAGTGCCTGTTCTAGTAGATATAAAGAAGAACTACCCCATTGGCCAGATAGGCAGAAAGTAAGACGTCTGCATATCACCACTTCCTGTTTGTGTTTTTTTTAAAGGACTTTTTTTACCTCTGGCGGCATGAAGCCTAAAAAGGAAGGCCTGTCGCCATGAATGTGTATGTGTATAGTCTGGAATGAAAAATAAATAGTGGTCTCTCTTTGACAGACTTGTCTTCGATTTGATTAATAATAATCCCACCATCAGAGGGAAAAATTAACAAAAAGTAATAAACATATTTTTATTCAACACTCACCATCAGTGCATGCTGAATGTCAACATTTGCCGATGTAAGTGAGAAATAATGATATTTAGCAAATTTTTGTGTATGTACGAACATACACAAAACGACTGTGTAAACGCCGACATTCACTGGAGAATGTTGACATTCACCATATATTGGTCATTCACAGTAACATATATATAACAACCAGAAAAATCTTTTTGTTGGTTTTAAAAAATGTTTGATCATAAGCTTAACATAATGTGTCAATACAGGTTATTTTATTAATTGAATATAGAGAACAAAAAAAAAAAAAAAAAAAACATTGTGAGAGAAAGATAATTCTGTGTAGAAATTAATAATGGTAACAATAGTAGTAAATTTTTTTTTCAATCAATTTAAAATTCTTTTTATTTATAGAAAAAAAAAATTTACTTGAAAATTAATCATAGAAAAGTGTTTTAATGAAAACTGCACTTAATGTTGAAGAAATTACCTTTTCAATACATCAATACATACATATAAAATAAAGTACAAATAGAGTTATATTCAAAAGAAAGAATCATAGAAATGTAATGATAAAAATTACTGTTCATAGTAATATTAGATAACTGCTTAATTCAAATCACTCATATAATGTTTTGAAAAAATGCATGTTGTGAAAATACTTTATTGTTCATAAATAATTTAACATTATAAAATTAATAACAAAGTATTTGTAACAACAAAGAAGAAGTATATCTTGGAATTCCTTGAAAAATTAGACTTTACCTTTTTCACTTCTACCATGTCTCTGGTATCAATAACTAAGGGTTGATGAAGAGGAGCTTTGGGTTCTACGCATAATCGTGGTCGTTTACTATGATGAAGATGATCCAATTCCATTTGTGTATGAATGGTACCAACGTTTGTAGTCCCACTACGGGAAGCCGGATGAATTAAACCCGATGATGAAAGTGCTGTGGCAGGTAGACCCATTTCTCTTTCGTAAGGAAACCTATATGTTTCAATATATCTAGAAAATAAATATTAAGCCATTATGTTAATTTTGTACTTATTGTATTAGTGGTACATTAAATTTTTATTAAAGATATAAATAAACTGTTAAAAGGTATATGCCTTTTCTTTAATATGACTTGCAGATTGATATTGTAACAAACCACAAACAGGATTTAATGTTGTCCACAACATACGAGAAAACAACATAATGACTGATTATATACTGAGTAATCAAACAAAAAAAAGAATTTGCAAGAAGTAGTGCAAGAAGTTTGATCATATCAGTTCGCAATACTGCATGACATTCATTGTACATCACCAATTCTGAGTCTATTAATGGGTATGTGAGAAAATTCTGCACTAAAATATCTTCCTCTCTAGTTAAAAGCTAATAATTTTTAACTATGCTGCATGTGCTATAATTTGAAAATGTGTGGAATGCCATAGACATTCTACAATCTTTTTTCTGAATTCAAAATGGAAACAAAATAAGATCCTTTATGCCTAAAAGTATAAAACTTTTACACATTATATAAAAAATTAGGAAAAAGTTTACTACAAACCATTTTGCAAATGAAGGAATTTCAAAACAGACTATAATATTACATTCTCCAACATTTTAAGAGTGGATTATTACCACAGAGAAGAATGGTGTCTGACAGAATAGCAAAAATTAAACAAATGCAAAGTTGGAAGGGTTGAAGAAAATCTTTGAAGATAGTAACAAGGTTTCAATTCAATCTGTAACTCTAAAACTGAAAATTTTGCACAGATGACTTCACAAGACTTTGAAAACAAAACAAACACATTGAATATTAATAGTAGTAGGTAATTCTGGACAGAATAGACATGTAAAGATCACTGGCAAAGATAGTGTGAAAATTCTCTGAAAAGTTCTTCATTTTAGCTGATGAATCTAATTTCACTTTCATACACTAGATCAACAGTAACAGAGGATTTTATACTGGTTATATTCCCTATATATCTGTCAACATAAACTTTTCTGGAAAAAAATCTGAGACAAAGTTTTGTTTGGGACTGCAATGGAACCAAAAGGATTGAGCACTAATCAAAAAAATCAAATTTTGCTATCAATGTCCAGTGATATTTAAATGAATGTATAAAATTTCACTTGATTCTTTACACATTTTGAAACAACTATCCTCAAACAGAATAGGTCTTTGGACCAGATCAACCAAGTTCCCACCATACCAACACTGTACTGGATTACCTGTGATAAGAAAATACCATGTTTGTCAAAAAGGAAGAAAATCCAGCAAACGAAGACTTTTAGCAATTCTGAAGGAAGCTGCTTACAAAAAGAAGTGGAAGACGAAAAACACAAATCAACTGATCAATTGCATTTTTGCCCAAAAAATGCAAACCAAAGTCTTGTACAAAAACTTAACTGAATATTCGAAGTTGAGTTGACTGTGTTTGAGTCAGACATTTGAAGAATTACAAAAATAAAAGATAATGTATAGCTTTCCATCACCTTTTGAATGACTAATTAGTTCATATAATCGTTTTTAAAGGTAAAAACATCATAAGATTTTTCTGGACACCCATCATTAGCTTGTTATTGGTAACTTAAGTGTTGTGAAAATTGTACATTCCTTATACTATGGAACAAAGAATTTCCATGGTCAAAAGTTACAAAGAGAGAAAAGTTACTGAAAATTAAGACAATGATTTATGAAAAAATATTCCAAATCATTTGTGCCCACCGTGGTTTTATGATTCCGAACTTTATAATAAATGATAGTCCACAAGATAACAGAGTTATCACGAAACAAAAAATTATCTGAGGAAAACCTGGAACATGATTAAATGCAAATCCCACAAAATCTTTAACGTAGTTATTTCAAGAGAATGATCTTACAGTTAAGAATCAAATTTCATCCTTATAAAACAGAGGTTATCCATAAACTTTATTTATTTACAATTTCAAATTTTATCCTTCGAATCCATAGCAAATAAATGTTTGAGACTTTATTAATGTTTCTTGCCACATGTAGCAGTAGTGAAACCAGCTTTCAGCATCACAAAACTCCTTGCAAGTCCTCTTTTCATTTGATCATGCAACATTAACAATGTAAAATGCTAAGTAAAAACATTAAATTGGCTAGGAGGGTGAGACAAATTCTGAGCACCTTTGAACAATGGAACAACGACCAAGTTGACAAATCAGACTGATTCCATTTAAAATGTTTGAAGAAATAAAACAATTTTTCATTCATCATAATTTTATCATTTATATTAAAATATATTTGTTTTTATACCAATACACACACCTATCTTTGAAATGAGTAGCACTGATGATAATGAATCAGTGGAAAAGATAACATCACTACTTTTAGCATACAAAAAGTATACATAAAAACCACAAAATAAACTGGAATGATATATAGACTCACCTAAATGTCAAATTTCCAGCAAAACACCCAAATTCAACATTTGAACATTTTCAGCCACTTGTTAATTGGCCTTCATCAGGAAAAGTCAAAATGAAAATAACTGTTATATTTATAGAATGCTGCGGCGTTCCACACATAATTTTTAAAAATGGTTTGAACGTCTGCTGTGACAAATATTAAGCAACATATAATTTCCTTTAAGACTGTAAATAATACTTCCGTGCATTTGGTATGGGAATGTAATCCGTGTTGATGCATGTTCCTCTAATGTCAGCTCTGTAGATTTCTGTGGCCTCTAATGTTCTTATATGCTTTCTGTCAAATACCTTGTGTATTAGGGTTGCCTCCTCCCACATGGGGTAAATTCCCGGCTCGGTGGCATACCAGGCGAGGGCCGTATTGATGTTTTCTTTTGCCATGTCATACCTGTGATCACATTACTGGGCTTGTAATGATCTGTATGTATAACCAATGTAAGTTAGTGTCCAGTTGAATCTGTCATCCTGTAGTGGGATGCGATAAATTCCAGATGCTTTAGCATCTTCAGTTTCATCCTTTACGTTAGATAAAAGGCAGAACACGATGGTCGCACAAACTGGGTCAATACTTACGCCCTGTGATTGATAAAACCAGATTCCCAACATTTTCATTGGAAAATTGGATCCATCAGATGTTAAAGTGCCACCTTCAATTATACACATATAAGATCTCCAATTCAGGTGCACTTCTATCCAAACTTGCTGCTATTAATTTAAGTGGGAACAAATATCTCACCATGTTTGATTTTGTAACCATGTTTCCATCTATTCGTTTAGAACCATGCTTTTGTGCTTTAAAAGATTTTTTTAAAGCACTAATCCTGATGCTCAAACTTTCCACTCTCAGATATTAGACCTAGCAAACCTGCTGTGCTATTCCTCATGTTTTTACTTTGATGAGTGCACCTACACACAAAAAACAGGGGTACCTATGGGTAACCCCATTTTGGGTGATCAGTGTGAACTGGTTATATGACAATTGGAAAAGCAGTCCTTAGTTATCCTTAAACATAATACCCTCATGTATACCCGATACACTGATGACATTTTGATTATATGGAGAAATGTTGATGATGTGTTAAAAGTGTTCAATAATAACAACTATGGATTATCACTAAAACTGGATCAGGAAAGCCACACAGATGTTAATTTCTTGGATGTCAAGATTCACATAGCGGATAATAAGTTAACACCACAGTGTACCGCAACCCACTCACATCCCTCTATTCATACCAGCCAACTCTGCTGACCCTTGGTCACATAAAACGTCCGCTTTCCACATACTTCTGGCTAGAGCCCACTCACATTGTATGCTGCTCTCTGATACTAACAATGAGCTAGAACAACTGAAACATATCGCATCCAAGCATGGATACAGCCACTCATTTATCAACAATATAACATCCATATATCAAGCCAAGTCAATCAACACCAATACTAACGTTAACAATGCAGAAGAGAAATGGGTAATCTTAAGTTACAAACCATCCCTCCATCGCATATACAAGATGATGGCCAAGGATTTAAACATACGCATAGCAAACAAAAAACCCCACAGTGTTCCACCTTTTATCTAATTCGTGTTCCACAAAATCACAGTGGCACAAAATCAGTGTTCCACCTTTTATCTAATGTAAAGGATGAAACTTAAGATGCTAAAGCACCTGGAATTTATCGCATCCCACTACAAGATGACAGATTCAACTGGACACTAACCTACATTGGTTCTACATACAGATCATTACAAGCCCGGTAATGTGATCACAGGTATGACATGGCAAAAGGAAACATCAATACGGCCCTAACCAGGTATGCCACCGAGCTGGGAATTTACCCTGTATGGGAGGAGGCAACCGTAATACATAAAGTATTAGACAGAAAGCATATAAACAAACAAATTCACACCTAAATGCTAATTCCAGCAGTAAATGAACAAATAAACTTTAATGTTCAAACATTTTCGGCCGTCTTTCAGAGACCCTCGCCAAGAAAAATGCATTTACTGCTGGAATTAGTATTTAGGTGTGAATTTGTTTGTTTATTGTATAGTTTCAGTTTATGTATGCTAGTTTTTTTGGTCTGAGAAAGCATATAAGAACATTAGAGGACACAGAAATCTACAAGGCTGACATAAGAGGTACATGCATCAACACGGATTACATTCCCATACCAAATGCATGGAAGTATTATTTACAGTCTTAAAGGAAATTATACTTTGCTTAATATACGTCACAGCCGACATTCGAACCATTTAAAAAAATTTTAAAAATTGTGTGTGCAATGAGGCAGCATTCTCTAAATAAAACAGTTATTTTCGTTTTGACTTTTCCCGATAAAGGCCAATTAACAATTGGCTGAAAACGTTTGAATGTTGAATTTGGGTGTTTTGCTGGAAATTTGTCATTTAGGTGAGAGTCTATACCAGGCATGGCCAACATACAGCCCACGTAATGAATTTATGCAGCCCGCGATTAATCTTTCAATATTAGCTACTGAAGTCCAAATAGCTTGATGAAAAATTCTGACACCTAAAACAAAAAAAGTCAACAACTCACTGTGCGTTTAGAGTTAACCCTCCACTATAGATCTCTTAAGTATGGAGTACAATGTTGATAAAGCATGATAATGTGAAAAATGTATCTGTAATCTCTATGTACAACTTAGTCTCTACGGGGTGACTCCACAATGAGATCTCGCACCACCTCAAAATCTTCCTAGGACAGCCTCTGGTTCGGCCCGTGAAAAATGTTTTCTTTCCAATTCAGCCCGGGGGCAAAAACTGTTGGCCACCCCTGGTCTATACAAAAAGTATATTGACCAAGTTGCTTAAAATTCTATAAGTGGGTGGAATCGGGAATTAATCAGAAATGAGTCCAGATCGCAGCATAACTAGATTTAGCAAGAATTCTGCATTACCAAACACAATTCTAGTACAAGGTTATTCAAAAAAGTAGATGCATATAAAACAAAACCATTTCTTTATAGTTAAATAAACTTATATTTTGGCCAAAATCTACATACAAGTCATAGAACAATGATAATTTAGTAGTTTGGAAAATAAGTGTTCTCATCTTCACAATCCATGTCTGAATAGGTAGGAAGAAACTTCAAAAAGTTATTCAGAAAAAAAAAATGAAACTAAATGTTCAAAAGAATTTAGATCATTGATGGTCAAAAGAAATTATTCTTCAAATGATTTATATTTAATGACTACAACTGATAATTTAATAAGCTTTGCTGATAAAATATGTAATTAGTAACTTTTTGATTTTTTTATGACTAATTATTTAAAGTGACGAGGAAAGATTTATTAAATGTACTTTATCAATATTTTCTGTCTTAAACTGTACATTTCAGCTTGTATTATTTTAAGTATGTAAGGCTTAATCAGAACATCTAAAGAAATCCCTGACAGAAGAGGATTCTTAAGTACTTCATGGTTGTCTGAGGCTAAGGACTTCCATTTTAAGAAGTAGCAAAGTAAGAAATTTAAATACAATGTAAAGTTAAACTTATCATATTTGAAATTCTATAACAATACTCTATAGCCCTAGTCAATACATTTGTCTGTGTTAATACAATTTCTCTGTTCAAAACCAACTGTTTCTGCAAATATCATTGCTAGTCTTTTTACTCATGATAAGACTAGGTCAAGGGAGTGGACGACTTTTGCATTATTTTAATTTTTCCATCTCCAAAAAAAAACAACTTTGAGTATTATTATTATTTACAATAAATATCACAAACCTTCATTAAGAAGCTCTAATTTAATTTAATCCAAAAAGTCTGTTATCTTTTATTCCAAGCAAATTCATTCTATCCATTCAGAACTTTCTGAAGTCATAAAACAAAGAAATTTGTAAATTAAATTTAAAAAATACATTCTCAATTTCACAATCAAATAAAATTTTACAATATCCAATACCATTTTCTGTATATTAAAGTCCCTTTACTATTATTATTATTATAAATTCCTCTCTCGTTATTTCGATTTCTACATCAACTACTTTTAACTGTATCATTCACTATAAATTAATAAATCTTTGTTAAATAACATTTAAAATAGGTTATACCTTAAAACCTAACTACATTCCTTCAAATAAGGTTAATTATTGTTTGTGGGATTTCTATATTCTGTTCTTTTTATTTGTAATAAGACTAGGTCAAGGGAGTGGATGAATTTTGCAATAAGTACTTATAATCATTTTTCTTGTATGTTATAGTCCAAATAATTTGTAGTAGTTCTAGAAATACAGAAACTATAATATATAAGTTAGACCAACAAAAAGTTGTCTTGATTCAAAAGTTAAATTTAAATACAGTGGGTGATCGGTTAACAAACATAATCCGTTCCAAGACTTTGTTCGCTATCCGAATTGTTCATTAACCGATTATCAATTTACCATAGATTTCTATAAGAATTTGATTAATTTGTTCTGGAGATTCCCAAAAAATAAAAAATATATACTTTCTTACTACGTTTATTCATATGTAATAATAAAAATACATACATACACGNGCATAAGCAATTAATATTGGTTTTAAAATTCTTATATAGAATATTTTTTAAAAATAAAAATGGAAAATAATACTGAGTAAAAATTTTAGCATTAGTAATAGAATTTTAAAAATTATTTGTAACCATCAATAAAAAAGTTAAACATATGCAGTAATTGTAACAACATTAAAAGAAAACAAAATACACAATGTGATCACAATTTATCTGGTCTAATTTGGAGCAATTTTGAAATATCTTTTAATAAAAAAAAAATAACAACTCTTATTAAATGTGTGAAAATCAAAATTAATTCAGTATAACTTTGTGTGTGGTTTACAAAAAGGACATTCAAAGTTAAATCTTTAGCTGTAGTAAAGAAAAAGAAAACCATGAAAAATTTTTTAACTGATTACAAAATTTTCATGTAGTGTGTGTATATATCACAATGATAAATTAGTTCTTTATACTTGACATAAAAAAAATTGAGTTGGTTAATATACATTTAAAGACAAATCTTCTGGAATTTTAATATATTTATACTTTCCCAAATGTAACTTCTGGCAAATCATACTCACACATTAAGTCAACATTTTTATGTACTGTCTATGGTTAACTGATTGATGGCTAGTTGATTTTAATATTCTTATCATCAACTCTTCAGACTTAAAGAATAATATCCATCTTTGTTTCAATTGGAAAAGAAAACCATTAACTAAATTAACCAATAGAAATTATTGAAGTCAGGAAAACAATAAGCCTTTGAGTACAAAATGCCCTAAGGTATGCATTATCCCAGTTTGCCTTCCTGCAAATCTCCTACAGTATAATTCTATTGTTATTACATATATATTTATTTAAAACAATTTTTTGTTTCAGAAATTCTCATTTAATTTAAATTTTGGTGAATGTTTTTAGTAAAGGTAAATATTATGAGAAGAGTTTCGTATTCCACAATATAACATCCTTTCTTCTGTAAACTCAAAGCCTTCACAAGGACTCCTGGGATATGCAAACTAGAGGTCAAGAAACATAGCATCACCCGAATTATCTTGGGTTCCCAAGCATAAAACAATGGTAATAAATACAACAATTTCTGGCATTCAGCACAACCCACAATGCAATTGACCAAGATGTTCACGGAATGGGGAATAACACCTCAATCTGTACTATCAACAATAAATTGCTGGTATCTTTGTATCAGAGTAAAAACAAATCCTCAACACGGTAGGATAACACCTTATCAACTAGACAACATGCAGCAGAAAGAAAATATTAAAGCTTAATTCAAAAGTTTAGAAAAATAGACCAACATGTATTATTTTTCATTCTATTTGCTAGATAAATAATTATTCATTTCACTTCATATTTGGCAAAAGAAATGCATAAAAAGTAAAGCCCATCATACAAAATATATAGGATACATTTTTGCACTAAAAGATGATATCAAACACTTAAAATGGGAAATGAAAAATGTTACTTCACAACTTTTCATTCATAATAAATATGATACATAAATGTAAAATTAAAATACACTTCATTTTAAAAACAAATTTCTTCATATTGTAATATTTTACTAATTTCATGCATATATATTATTTTATTTTTAAATTTCAGTACATTAACTAACTATAATTCCAAAGACTATGAAAAGTATGGCATTTTTTCTGTCAACAATTAACAAAGATACTGAGGAGACCCCAGAGAGATTTGCATTTAAAAACACTGACATCCATACATGGAAAGTAAACTTTTCTCAAAACTATTTAATTTACCAAAATATATTAATATTAAATGTTTGTTAAAAAGAGATATAAGAAAACACTTACTCGGATTTGTCTTTCTTGATGTTTTCTTTTAAAATACTGTATTAAGCTCTTTTTGAATGTTGCAAATCTGAAGACAACAAAAAATCTTGTAAATAATAAGTTCGTTCAACTTTATTCAGAGATGTTTTTAAAAATATAAGCATTTAACAAATAAAAGCAGTTCTTTGACACTGCTTTTTTCTACACTCCTTAATTGGGGCCAATTTTTCTCATTTGACATTGTTGTTCACGTTTTGTTAGCACAGCAAATGGATCCTGCCTACTATTAGCCACAGATTTATATTGCTCCCCAACTCTTCTCAATACCAGCAATATAACAGACCTCATATAAAAGCATTCTTCTGGACCTTCAGTTAATTTTATAGCATGGATACCCAATTGTGATGATATTTCCACCTTATCCCTATAGTTACATAGTACATTTATAATCATTAGGTTGCATTTAGCTCCTAGCCTAAGATCCACTTTATTAACATAAGGGGATGCCAATACTGCTACACTTTTCCTTTAATGATAGAAGTTACTTTCTTGGTTGCTTTTATTCTTTGTACACTTGTTCTGTTGATTCATAAGAAAGTAATGATTATAACTTTTGTGCATGATTTGTTCAGTGATTTTCTGTAATTATTATTTATATCTAGATTCAATTGCTATAAACCGATCACATACAGTAACATTTATAATGCACAATTTGTGTATTTTTGCACTGAAGTTTTATCGAACAACATTTGATAAATTTTTTAGTTGCACCCCCTTGCTAAATTTCTGGCTACACTACTGACATCAGCATTCAATTTAGCACTTTAAAGCAGTCATATAGTTACTTGACAGTGCTAAATTGATAATACAACTATTGTAAAATTATTTCTAATAAGATATTACTCAAACTTCCTTCACAAATGTTATGTATTTTTCTGAAGTAAAGTTAATGTATAAAGCAAAGTCCAAAAGTTTCCATTCTTGGTTGTATACGAATAAACTTAATGAATTATTCACATTCTCATATCCCACAGCTATTATTTTGTGACCACTAACTTTTTAGAATGCAATCAGAAATTATTTGATAGCAGTTAAAGAAGTCTGCATTAAACAAAAACATTCAAAACTGCCACAGCAGACTAAAATACTTTACAACCAGTTATTACCGGAAATGAAACTAGAGTCTTATATTATCCTTTGGTCTAAAATTACTAGAAAAGACTTTTTATAAAGGGATTCAGCTGGACAAGGAATGGTTTCGTCGTCAACCAGTTGATAGCTGTCATTTTGTAACTGTAATAATGTCCTGATGATTGATTTTAAAGACAGAAATAGTCTTAAACAGCAAATATTGTGTTTCTTTATTAATACACTACAAGATTTCATCACAAAGGGAGATGAGGCAAACTGAATTAAAAAATGACAATGCCCTCAGTTCATACTATCCACTTTGCAAAGATTTCTTGAATTCTGCTTCATAAAATTAGCCACCTTCCCTATAACTCAGACCCAACCCCAAATGACTAGCATCTGTTTTCAAAATTGTAATTTCTAACTTGAGAGGGAAGCATTTCCCAGCGAGAGGAAGTAAAATCTGTTGTTTTCGGATACTTTTAGCCCAAATACTAAGCCAGTTGAAAGATGCATTTTCAGAAGTGTGAAAAGTGAACCTAGACCATTGCAAAATAATGAAGATTAAGTCTTGTATTTTTTTTGATCATCCTATTTCAACTGAAAACTTTTGGATTTTTCAATATATTTGATTATAAATCTTGTCCAGTTTAACTCCATTGAATCCTACTATATTTAAGACAGAATTAGAGTATATATATTAAAATTTATTACTGCCTATTCTTCAGTACAGACAGTAATAAATACTCTAAAGAAAAGCTGTCAAAATGAAACAGTCAAATAAAAATCTATAAGAGATGTGTATATACACAAAGTTTAAAATTTATCCATCTTCGGGTTTTTATAATAAAATAAAATTTCAGTAACAAGTTTTAAAAATTAATAGACTGATTAATATTAAAAAAAAAAACAAATAAGAGAGAAGCTTGAGAATTTAAAAATTGGAACTTTACTGAATTGTTACATGAAAAATGAAAAACCCAACAAGAATAAGCAGATGTTGAATTTTTGTCAATTTAAGTAAACTCTAAGTTTACTGTACTTTCATTTTTGCAAAAATGAATTTTCACAAAATTTTTCAAATGCAACAATCATAAATTTATCAAATAAAGTTTTTGTAGTCAATATATTCTGTAAATATTTTTAAACTGATTAAATTGTTTACTACTTACTTTTTTTTATTTTCATGGTGTATCTGAGTATCCATTGGTTGATTATACATGGGCTATTTGGAAAAATATTTATATGAAACTTTGCAAAAGATTTCTGTGTTTTTATAAATTTTACAATTATTTGAATATAGCAAACTTACCAAATCAACTTTTGGTCCGAGTTTTTCTAATAAGGCATGTGCTTGCTGAGCTTTTTTCTGAAATAAGTTGACACATTAGTAACTTCTTTCAATTTTGTACATTATATGGATTGTCCTATCTTTAAATAAAGAAAAAAGTACTAACTCTATTTTCAGAATATATAATTTGGGCTATGCTCATTTGCTTCGGCTCGCTCGTAGATATTTCTTGTATGACCTGTTTGGTGTCGGGAGGTTTATTTGCTTCAGCTTCTAATTCTTGCTGCAATGAGATACAGTAACAGTCAGTTTACTTATACAACTACAAAAATTCATACAAAATTAGAAAAACGTAATTGCAATAAATTTTATTTATAAAATGACAATGATTGAGAGAATTGCAGTAGAAGGGATTCTACAGAAAACAATTTTATTATCTAAGATTAACAGAAAATTAATGTCAATTATTTAAACTTAATTAAAAAACTCAATTTATGTTACATTTTAATTGACAAAACATTGTTTTAAAAAGCATTTACCTTCCGTTTTTTCAATTTTGATGTCTGAGTTTCGACTTGATTTATTTCTCGATCTATCCTATTTATAGCCTGTAATAACTCATCTTTCGACGATCTATGAGGAGAAAGATCCTGCTGCAATTCATCTGTTGGTAATGTAGGAGAAATTGCCTCAACTTGAGGTGTATAAGCTGGTTCCTGAAATTTGTCATTTCTAATTGAGTATTCATTAAGGAAATAATAATAAAATATAAAAGAAAAAAATCATTTTTTTTACAGAATTGAATTTGTACATTTTTCAAAATTACACATTAAATATTTTCTGTAAGGTACTTTCTCCACTATAAAATACTTCAGTTATACAATTTTGCACATATACATAATGGCTTTTCAGTATGTATAGAACATTTTCTCCCTTATACAGTATGTTTATTCACTTTGAAATAAAAAAAAATTAAAACAATTATTAAAAAAGTTAAAAAGCAAATTATATATTCACTTCAAATATTAGTCCACATGAATTGCCAACAAACGCAAGATGTAGCTACGTAACATATGACACCATTTCTGGAGAATTTTCCCATTTAGTAAAGTGCTCCACCAGTCCAACATGTTGAAAATTTTCACTTTCCATGTTTTGCAGTATAAACCAATTTCAGTAAGCAAATAAAAATCACTTTCTGGTTTCTCATACGTTTTCACTATTTACTATCACTGTCAGTTAACCTTTAGGATGGCTTTTCTTTCTTTCACTACTAAAGTTTCTCATATTGTCATTTCAACACTGAACCAATATGTAATAAGCCCATCCAGAGAATAACAAACAAAACTGAATCAATTTTAAATACATGACGTAATTTCACACTGTTTTACTTTTCTTTTTGTACATTGTTCAAATGTATTGTACATATAGTAAACTGAAAATTCTTCGTTAACAATTACAAGCATAAATTAAGTCATATAATGTTAATTTGTGCCATGTCATACTATTGCAACAACTGTATTCACCCTGAAAGAAATTCAAGAAGTTTCATTTTAATGTTTTTCTCACTTATACAATATTTACCTCAGTTCTTTTGAAAAACATATAAACAGGGCTCAGTTGTTTTATACTTTCCCTAATGAGTGTATTTCTTTATAAAGAAAAAAAAAATCTAACAACAAGTTACATAACTTTCTCGGTTGTTATGCGATTTTATTTAAAAAATAAGTTTTAGTGTATTCTTAATTATAATAAATAAAATTGTGCTTGGTACCATATGTTATGAGATTTCATTATTAAAAACTTTTTATATTTTTAATTATAATAAAATAGCAAATAGCTTAATTTTGAGGGTAGTGATGAGTTTCATAACACATTGTAAATGCTATTAATGAATATCTTCAAGTCCAACCCTGTCGAGATATGACACATGACATAGTTCTATTGTCTCACCCTCTTGACCTTTAACCACTAAAATGTAATAGCATCAATGCTCTTGTATACAAGAGCATTGATGCCACCATAACAAATTTCATTTCTTCATCATTACTCTACATCTTGAGACAGTAAATGAAATAGTTGCCAACACACATATAGAATTTTTTTCCTTTTTTTTTTTTTTTTTTACTTTTTTGGTTCAGGTGGTCTCAAAACGTGAAGTTTTGCAAAAAAACTCAGAGTCAAATTTGACACAATTCCAGTACTTTCCCTTATAATGTATATGTTACTGAGAAAGACCGAAATTAGAGAATGTCGACACATACAAAATACATCAGTAAAAGATCGAATATTTGGTTATATTATTATACATTCGTACAATCGCCAGTGTATGTGACAAGCACAGATAAGCTTTGGTGGAGGTCGAAATGACACGAGAAGCCGATGTTGACAGACAGGCAACAGTCTGTTGCCAAATTCTTTGCCATTTCCTTCAGCTCAAATTGGTGATACAGTACGAATACAAGTCCCCGATGTTGACCGCACCCGTACAGATGCCTGAAATGTGTTGGTGGTTGTTGTTAGAATAGAAGACTCAGACTTTTATAAATTAGCAGACAAAAATGGTACCCCCAAGCAGCTTTATACCTGTAATATATTTGTAATTTGTAAAGAAAAGTTACTTTCCATAGATAAGATTTCTTCTCAAGAAATATCGCCGAGAGAAGCAGCTGCAGCTAATTTGAAAAGTGGAGGGCAAGGCTATCTATACATGCTGTCATTGCAAAAAGAAGTGTTCCACAAATAAATGCAGTTGTAAAAGTGAGGGACTCTCGTGCAATTCAAAGTGCCATAACAGTTTAAGTTGTTACAATAAATAAGATTGCACAACATTAATCACATAATTTGTGTGTAAGTTTATTATTGTATTATTTTCTTTAATGATTAAGAATGTACTGTTTGTTTTAGGTTCAACAGTTTATTTACATACGCTGTTACTAAAGCTTTCTCCTATTTTGACATATTAAAAAGTTGCATTTTTGTCTTAACATCACAAACAGGAACTGGTGATATGCAGACGTCTTACTTTCCACCCATCTGGCCAATGGGGTAGTTGTGCTGTATATCTACTAGAATCTACATTTTTTAGTGCCTGTTCTAGTAGATATAAAGAAGAACTACCCCATTGGCCAGATAGGCAGAAAGTAAGACGTCTGCATATCACCACTTCCTGTTTGTGTTTTTTTTAAAGGACTTTTTTTACCTCTGGCGGCATGAAGCCTAAAAAGGAAGGCCTGTCGCCATGAATGTGTATGTGTATAGTCTGGAATGAAAAATAAATAGTGGTCTCTCTTTGACAGACTTGTCTTCGATTTGATTAATAATAATCCCACCATCAGAGGGAAAAATTAACAAAAAGTAATAAACATATTTTTATTCAACACTCACCATCAGTGCATGCTGAATGTCAACATTTGCCGATGTAAGTGAGAAATAATGATATTTAGCAAATTTTTGTGTATGTACGAACATACACAAAACGACTGTGTAAACGCCGACATTCACTGGAGAATGTTGACATTCACCATATATTGGTCATTCACAGTAACATATATATAACAACCAGAAAAATCTTTTTGTTGGTTTTAAAAAATGTTTGATCATAAGCTTAACATAATGTGTCAATACAGGTTATTTTATTAATTGAATATAGAGAACAAAAAAAAAAAAAAAAAAAAAAAAAAAAAAAAAAAAAAAAAAAAAAAAAAAAAAAAAAAAAAAAAAAAAAAAAAAAAAAAAAAAAAAAAAAAAAAAAAAAAAAAAAAAAAAAAAAAAAAAAAAAAAAAAAAAAAAAAAAAAAAAAAAAAAAAAAAAAAAAAAAAAAAAAAAAAAAAAAAAAAAAAAAAAAAAAAAAAAAAAAAAAAAAAAAAAAAAAAAAAAAAAAAAAAAAAAAAAAAAAAAAAAAAAAAAAAAAAAAAAAAAAAAAAAAAAAAAAAAAAAAAAAAAAAAAAAAAAAAAAAAAAAAAAAAAAAAAAAAAAAAAAAAAAAAAAAAAAAAAAAAAAAAAAAAAAAAAAAAAAAAAAAAAAAAAAAAAAAAAAAAAAAAAAAAAAAAAAAAAAAAAAAAAAAAAAAAAAAAAAAAAAAAAAAAAAAAAAAAAAAAAAAAAAAAAAAAAAAAAAAAAAAAAAAAAAAAAAAAAAAAAAAAAAAAAAAAAAAAAAAAAAAAAAAAAAAAAAAAAAAAAAAAAAAAAAAAAAAAAAAAAAAAAAAAAAAAAAAAAAAAAAAAAAAAAAAAAAAAAAAAAAAAAAAAAAAAAAAAAAAAAAAAAAAAAAAAAAAAAAAAAAAAAAAAAAAAAAAAAAAAAAAAAAAAAAAAAAAAAAAAAAAAAAAAAAAAAAAAAAAAAAAAAAAAAAAAAAAAAAAAAAAAAAAAAAAAAAAAAAAAAAAAAAAAAAAAAAAAAAAAAAAAAAAAAAAAAAAAAAAAAAAAAAAAAAAAAAAAAAAAAAAAAAAAAAAAAAAAAAAAAAAAAAAAAAAAAAAAAAAAAAAAAAAAAAAAAAAAAAAAAAAAAAAAAAAAAAAAAAAAAAAAAAAAAAAAAAAAAAAAAAAAAAAAAAAAAAAAAAAAAAAAAAAAAAAAAAAAAAAAAAAAAAAAAAAAAAAAAAAAAAAAAAAAAAAAAAAAAAAAAAAAAAAAAAAAAAAAAAAAAAAAAAAAAAANAGCAAAAAAAAAAAAAAAAAAAAACATTGTGAGAGAAAGATAATTCTGTGTAGAAATTAATAATGGTAACAATAGTAGTAAATTTTTTTTTCAATCAATTTAAAATTCTTTTTATTTATAGAAAAAAAAAATTTACTTGAAAATTAATCATAGAAAAGTGTTTTAATGAAAACTGCACTTAATGTTGAAGAAATTACCTTTTCAATACATCAATACATACATATAAAATAAAGTACAAATAGAGTTATATTCAAAAGAAAGAATCATAGAAATGTAATGATAAAAATTACTGTTCATAGTAATATTAGATAACTGCTTAATTCAAATCACTCATATAATGTTTTGAAAAAATGCATGTTGTGAAAATACTTTATTGTTCATAAATAATTTAACATTATAAAATTAATAACAAAGTATTTGTAACAACAAAGAAGAAGTATATCTTGGAATTCCTTGAAAAATTAGACTTTACCTTTTTCACTTCTACCATGTCTCTGGTATCAATAACTAAGGGTTGATGAAGAGGAGCTTTGGGTTCTACGCATAATCGTGGTCGTTTACTATGATGAAGATGATCCAATTCCATTTGTGTATGAATGGTACCAACGTTTGTAGTCCCACTACGGGAAGCCGGATGAATTAAACCCGATGATGAAAGTGCTGTGGCAGGTAGACCCATTTCTCTTTCGTAAGGAAACCTATATGTTTCAATATATCTAGAAAATAAATATTAAGCCATTATGTTAATTTTGTACTTATTGTATTAGTGGTACATTAAATTTTTATTAAAGATATAAATAAACTGTTAAAAGGTATATGCCTTTTCTTTAATATGACTTGCAGATTGATATTGTAACAAACCACAAACAGGATTTAATGTTGTCCACAACATACGAGAAAACAACATAATGACTGATTATATACTGAGTAATCAAACAAAAAAAAGAATTTGCAAGAAGTAGTGCAAGAAGTTTGATCATATCAGTTCGCAATACTGCATGACATTCATTGTACATCACCAATTCTGAGTCTATTAATGGGTATGTGAGAAAATTCTGCACTAAAATATCTTCCTCTCTAGTTAAAAGCTAATAATTTTTAACTATGCTGCATGTGCTATAATTTGAAAATGTGTGGAATGCCATAGACATTCTACAATCTTTTTTCTGAATTCAAAATGGAAACAAAATAAGATCCTTTATGCCTAAAAGTATAAAACTTTTACACATTATATAAAAAATTAGGAAAAAGTTTACTACAAACCATTTTGCAAATGAAGGAATTTCAAAACAGACTATAATATTACATTCTCCAACATTTTAAGAGTGGATTATTACCACAGAGAAGAATGGTGTCTGACAGAATAGCAAAAATTAAACAAATGCAAAGTTGGAAGGGTTGAAGAAAATCTTTGAAGATAGTAACAAGGTTTCAATTCAATCTGTAACTCTAAAACTGAAAATTTTGCACAGATGACTTCACAAGACTTTGAAAACAAAACAAACACATTGAATATTAATAGTAGTAGGTAATTCTGGACAGAATAGACATGTAAAGATCACTGGCAAAGATAGTGTGAAAATTCTCTGAAAAGTTCTTCATTTTAGCTGATGAATCTAATTTCACTTTCATACACTAGATCAACAGTAACAGAGGATTTTATACTGGTTATATTCCCTATATATCTGTCAACATAAACTTTTCTGGAAAAAAATCTGAGACAAAGTTTTGTTTGGGACTGCAATGGAACCAAAAGGATTGAGCACTAATCAAAAAAATCAAATTTTGCTATCAATGTCCAGTGATATTTAAATGAATGTATAAAATTTCACTTGATTCTTTACACATTTTGAAACAACTATCCTCAAACAGAATAGGTCTTTGGACCAGATCAACCAAGTTCCCACCATACCAACACTGTACTGGATTACCTGTGATAAGAAAATACCATGTTTGTCAAAAAGGAAGAAAATCCAGCAAACGAAGACTTTTAGCAATTCTGAAGGAAGCTGCTTACAAAAAGAAGTGGAAGACGAAAAACACAAATCAACTGATCAATTGCATTTTTGCCCAAAAAATGCAAACCAAAGTCTTGTACAAAAACTTAACTGAATATTCGAAGTTGAGTTGACTGTGTTTGAGTCAGACATTTGAAGAATTACAAAAATAAAAGATAATGTATAGCTTTCCATCACCTTTTGAATGACTAATTAGTTCATATAATCGTTTTTAAAGGTAAAAACATCATAAGATTTTTCTGGACACCCATCATTAGCTTGTTATTGGTAACTTAAGTGTTGTGAAAATTGTACATTCCTTATACTATGGAACAAAGAATTTCCATGGTCAAAAGTTACAAAGAGAGAAAAGTTACTGAAAATTAAGACAATGATTTATGAAAAAATATTCCAAATCATTTGTGCCCACCGTGGTTTTATGATTCCGAACTTTATAATAAATGATAGTCCACAAGATAACAGAGTTATCACGAAACAAAAAATTATCTGAGGAAAACCTGGAACATGATTAAATGCAAATCCCACAAAATCTTTAACGTAGTTATTTCAAGAGAATGATCTTACAGTTAAGAATCAAATTTCATCCTTATAAAACAGAGGTTATCCATAAACTTTATTTATTTACAATTTCAAATTTTATCCTTCGAATCCATAGCAAATAAATGTTTGAGACTTTATTAATGTTTCTTGCCACATGTAGCAGTAGTGAAACCAGCTTTCAGCATCACAAAACTCCTTGCAAGTCCTCTTTTCATTTGATCATGCAACATTAACAATGTAAAATGCTAAGTAAAAACATTAAATTGGCTAGGAGGGTGAGACAAATTCTGAGCACCTTTGAACAATGGAACAACGACCAAGTTGACAAATCAGACTGATTCCATTTAAAATGTTTGAAGAAATAAAACAATTTTTCATTCATCATAATTTTATCATTTATATTAAAATATATTTGTTTTTATACCAATACACACACCTATCTTTGAAATGAGTAGCACTGATGATAATGAATCAGTGGAAAAGATAACATCACTACTTTTAGCATACAAAAAGTATACATAAAAACCACAAAATAAACTGGAATGATATATAGACTCACCTAAATGTCAAATTTCCAGCAAAACACCCAAATTCAACATTTGAACATTTTCAGCCACTTGTTAATTGGCCTTCATCAGGAAAAGTCAAAATGAAAATAACTGTTATATTTATAGAATGCTGCGGCGTTCCACACATAATTTTTAAAAATGGTTTGAACGTCTGCTGTGACAAATATTAAGCAACATATAATTTCCTTTAAGACTGTAAATAATACTTCCGTGCATTTGGTATGGGAATGTAATCCGTGTTGATGCATGTTCCTCTAATGTCAGCTCTGTAGATTTCTGTGGCCTCTAATGTTCTTATATGCTTTCTGTCAAATACCTTGTGTATTAGGGTTGCCTCCTCCCACATGGGGTAAATTCCCGGCTCGGTGGCATACCAGGCGAGGGCCGTATTGATGTTTTCTTTTGCCATGTCATACCTGTGATCACATTACTGGGCTTGTAATGATCTGTATGTATAACCAATGTAAGTTAGTGTCCAGTTGAATCTGTCATCCTGTAGTGGGATGCGATAAATTCCAGATGCTTTAGCATCTTCAGTTTCATCCTTTACGTTAGATAAAAGGCAGAACACGATGGTCGCACAAACTGGGTCAATACTTACGCCCTGTGATTGATAAAACCAGATTCCCAACATTTTCATTGGAAAATTGGATCCATCAGATGTTAAAGTGCCACCTTCAATTATACACATATAAGATCTCCAATTCAGGTGCACTTCTATCCAAACTTGCTGCTATTAATTTAAGTGGGAACAAATATCTCACCATGTTTGATTTTGTAACCATGTTTCCATCTATTCGTTTAGAACCATGCTTTTGTGCTTTAAAAGATTTTTTTAAAGCACTAATCCTGATGCTCAAACTTTCCACTCTCAGATATTAGACCTAGCAAACCTGCTGTGCTATTCCTCATGTTTTTACTTTGATGAGTGCACCTACACACAAAAAACAGGGGTACCTATGGGTAACCCCATTTTGGGTGATCAGTGTGAACTGGTTATATGACAATTGGAAAAGCAGTCCTTAGTTATCCTTAAACATAATACCCTCATGTATACCCGATACACTGATGACATTTTGATTATATGGAGAAATGTTGATGATGTGTTAAAAGTGTTCAATAATAACAACTATGGATTATCACTAAAACTGGATCAGGAAAGCCACACAGATGTTAATTTCTTGGATGTCAAGATTCACATAGCGGATAATAAGTTAACACCACAGTGTACCGCAACCCACTCACATCCCTCTATTCATACCAGCCAACTCTGCTGACCCTTGGTCACATAAAACGTCCGCTTTCCACATACTTCTGGCTAGAGCCCACTCACATTGTATGCTGCTCTCTGATACTAACAATGAGCTAGAACAACTGAAACATATCGCATCCAAGCATGGATACAGCCACTCATTTATCAACAATATAACATCCATATATCAAGCCAAGTCAATCAACACCAATACTAACGTTAACAATGCAGAAGAGAAATGGGTAATCTTAAGTTACAAACCATCCCTCCATCGCATATACAAGATGATGGCCAAGGATTTAAACATACGCATAGCAAACAAAAAACCCCACAGTGTTCCACCTTTTATCTAATTCGTGTTCCACAAAATCACAGTGGCACAAAATCAGTGTTCCACCTTTTATCTAATGTAAAGGATGAAACTTAAGATGCTAAAGCACCTGGAATTTATCGCATCCCACTACAAGATGACAGATTCAACTGGACACTAACCTACATTGGTTCTACATACAGATCATTACAAGCCCGGTAATGTGATCACAGGTATGACATGGCAAAAGGAAACATCAATACGGCCCTAACCAGGTATGCCACCGAGCTGGGAATTTACCCTGTATGGGAGGAGGCAACCGTAATACATAAAGTATTAGACAGAAAGCATATAAACAAACAAATTCACACCTAAATGCTAATTCCAGCAGTAAATGAACAAATAAACTTTAATGTTCAAACATTTTCGGCCGTCTTTCAGAGACCCTCGCCAAGAAAAATGCATTTACTGCTGGAATTAGTATTTAGGTGTGAATTTGTTTGTTTATTGTATAGTTTCAGTTTATGTATGCTAGTTTTTTTGGTCTGAGAAAGCATATAAGAACATTAGAGGACACAGAAATCTACAAGGCTGACATAAGAGGTACATGCATCAACACGGATTACATTCCCATACCAAATGCATGGAAGTATTATTTACAGTCTTAAAGGAAATTATACTTTGCTTAATATACGTCACAGCCGACATTCGAACCATTTAAAAAAATTTTAAAAATTGTGTGTGCAATGAGGCAGCATTCTCTAAATAAAACAGTTATTTTCGTTTTGACTTTTCCCGACTTTTTCCCGTTTTCAGCCAATTAACAATTGGCTGAAAACGTTTGAATGTTGAATTTGGGTGTTTTGCTGGAAATTTGTCATTTAGGTGAGAGTCTATACCAGGCATGGCCAACATACAGCCCACGTAATGAATTTATGCAGCCCGCGATTAATCTTTCAATATTAGCTACTGAAGTCCAAATAGCTTGATGAAAAATTCTGACACCTAAAACAAAAAAAGTCAACAACTCACTGTGCGTTTAGAGTTAACCCTCCACTATAGATCTCTTAAGTATGGAGTACAATGTTGATAAAGCATGATAATGTGAAAAATGTATCTGTAATCTCTATGTACAACTTAGTCTCTACGGGGTGACTCCACAATGAGATCTCGCACCACCTCAAAATCTTCCTAGGACAGCCTCTGGTTCGGCCCGTGAAAAATGTTTTCTTTCCAATTCAGCCCGGGGGCAAAAACTGTTGGCCACCCCTGGTCTATACAAAAAGTATATTGACCAAGTTGCTTAAAATTCTATAAGTGGGTGGAATCGGGAATTAATCAGAAATGAGTCCAGATCGCAGCATAACTAGATTTAGCAAGAATTCTGCATTACCAAACACAATTCTAGTACAAGGTTATTCAAAAAAGTAGATGCATATAAAACAAAACCATTTCTTTATAGTTAAATAAACTTATATTTTGGCCAAAATCTACATACAAGTCATAGAACAATGATAATTTAGTAGTTTGGAAAATAAGTGTTCTCATCTTCACAATCCATGTCTGAATAGGTAGGAAGAAACTTCAAAAAGTTATTCAGAAAAAAAAAATGAAACTAAATGTTCAAAAGAATTTAGATCATTGATGGTCAAAAGAAATTATTCTTCAAATGATTTATATTTAATGACTACAACTGATAATTTAATAAGCTTTGCTGATAAAATATGTAATTAGTAACTTTTTGATTTTTTTATGACTAATTATTTAAAGTGACGAGGAAAGATTTATTAAATGTACTTTATCAATATTTTCTGTCTTAAACTGTACATTTCAGCTTGTATTATTTTAAGTATGTAAGGCTTAATCAGAACATCTAAAGAAATCCCTGACAGAAGAGGATTCTTAAGTACTTCATGGTTGTCTGAGGCTAAGGACTTCCATTTTAAGAAGTAGCAAAGTAAGAAATTTAAATACAATGTAAAGTTAAACTTATCATATTTGAAATTCTATAACAATACTCTATAGCCCTAGTCAATACATTTGTCTGTGTTAATACAATTTCTCTGTTCAAAACCAACTGTTTCTGCAAATATCATTGCTAGTCTTTTTACTCATGATAAGACTAGGTCAAGGGAGTGGACGACTTTTGCATTATTTTAATTTTTCCATCTCCAAAAAAAAACAACTTTGAGTATTATTATTATTTACAATAAATATCACAAACCTTCATTAAGAAGCTCTAATTTAATTTAATCCAAAAAGTCTGTTATCTTTTATTCCAAGCAAATTCATTCTATCCATTCAGAACTTTCTGAAGTCATAAAACAAAGAAATTTGTAAATTAAATTTAAAAAATACATTCTCAATTTCACAATCAAATAAAATTTTACAATATCCAATACCATTTTCTGTATATTAAAGTCCCTTTACTATTATTATTATTATAAATTCCTCTCTCGTTATTTCGATTTCTACATCAACTACTTTTAACTGTATCATTCACTATAAATTAATAAATCTTTGTTAAATAACATTTAAAATAGGTTATACCTTAAAACCTAACTACATTCCTTCAAATAAGGTTAATTATTGTTTGTGGGATTTCTATATTCTGTTCTTTTTATTTGTAATAAGACTAGGTCAAGGGAGTGGATGAATTTTGCAATAAGTACTTATAATCATTTTTCTTGTATGTTATAGTCCAAATAATTTGTAGTAGTTCTAGAAATACAGAAACTATAATATATAAGTTAGACCAACAAAAAGTTGTCTTGATTCAAAAGTTAAATTTAAATACAGTGGGTGATCGGTTAACAAACATAATCCGTTCCAAGACTTTGTTCGCTATCCGAATTGTTCATTAACCGATTATCAATTTACCATAGATTTCTATAAGAATTTGATTAATTTGTTCTGGAGATTCCCAAAAAATAAAAAATATATACTTTCTTACTACGTTTATTCATATGTAATAATAAAAATACATATATACATGGTCTTGCATTTTTATTTGTCACGTTTTTTCCGTTTGTGGGGGTTAAAGAACCTGTCCAATGTCGATTGCTTTTCTGTCTTCTTCATGATTTTTCAGAAGTAATTAATCGCATTGTAATTGTAGAGATCCCTAAGCTCAACCTCAATCTGGTTTCGATGCCATTTTATGACCGTTGTTCTGACATCCTCCCACTTCTTCAAAAAGATCTTTAATAGCAGATATTGGCATAAATCTGCTTTTTCAGAAGAAAACATAAAAGAATTGTTTCTATCAAAAATATAAAAGGTTGGAATTACAAGGGAGAGTTTCAAAGTTTGGGGGAATACTATCCAACCAGTATATACTGGGTTGAATGTCGATGTCAATGTCTGCTGTGCTCTGAAAAGTTTTGAATTGTTGCCTGAAGACAAAGGAAGACCAATCGGTATTCGTTATTTTATGTCGCTTCTTCTTGTGTTTGTTCAGTGAAGTGTTCGTTGTCCAATCATAAAAGTCTTTCGCGAAAGTGTTTGTTCTCCAATTTTTTCGTTAACCGATCACCCACTGTACTTTACTTTCTCTCAATTTCCAGTTTATTAAAAGGGAGATAATCTGCTTATGTGGTGTAAACATACTAAAATGTAAAAATACACATAAAAATAATGTGTATTTTTACATTTTAGTATGCTTACACCTTGACTAAGAGTTTGACAATAAATAACCAAACGATTGCCTAAATATCGGGCTATAATATGACTAATTAAATGATTGGTATAAAGAAATTTGACATTAGAGGTAGACGTTAGGTGCCATCTCTTAAGTAAATTAATAATTATAATTAAATAAATAAATTATTAAATAAATTTAGAGCCTTCTGAAATAAAAGAACTGGCCTGGGATTATAACCAAATATTTAGCTAATCATTTGGTGATTTATTGTATACTACTCAGTCTTTGCAATATTGTTATATGTATAAGAGTTTGACTTGTTACACAAAGAAATACAATAGGGATATTTCTAAGGCTATTTCTACATTTACGGTGCAAGCTTCTTAACTAATATAGTAATAACAAAAAATTCATATTAATTTTTGTTGATTATTTTTTCGTCATTATTGATAATGAGTAAATTGAAGGAAAAAACTTTCTATTATTATTTTTAGATATCAGTAAGCATTAGCAATAACGTAATGGCAGTTTATTTATTTCAAGGGATTTATTTCGATGATATTGCTATTACATCAAATTCTATTACAGAAAATTCACCTTTCATAAATATTAAGCATAAGTGTAACTTAGTAATGGAATATTTTGAAGATTAAGTGAAGTTTAGAACTTTAGAAATTTAAACATAGAATGTAGATTAAAGTAGATCTGTTGAAATTCTATTACAATAATAAAGCCAGTGAGGGATCTTGCATGATTTTCCTAAGACTTGAATGGAAAGTTAAGAGGACTGGAAAGGAAATCAGACAATTTTCAATTATACTACTATATAAAATTTAAATGATCAAAGCTGAAAAAGATTAATTATGTTGAATATGCAAAATTTCTCTATTTAAAAAATAAATATAAGTTTAAAACTGAATTATTATAGGAAAGGAACAATAAGGGTTTGGCTCAAAGTTAAAATCATGTGTGGTACCATCTATTAAAAGATTTTATTTAAAAAAGTAATATTTTTATAATGTTAATTATTATAAAAGGCAAAAGCTCTATTTTTGAAAGCATAAGAGAGTTTTTAAAAAGTTGTAAATGCTAATACAATTTGCATTGTGAGTCGCTCCCTTTTTATATATTCATCCTGGTGTGGTGCTTTTTATATATTCATCCAGTATAAAAATAAGTGATATTTTTTAAAACCGAAATAATGACAAAGTTGCAATGCAAACATAGGATATTGCAACATGGTTAGCATCAAATTGTAGTGTTTTGAAATCCAATGCATAAAAGCATTAACTGTAGATAAAAGTGCGAGAATGCAGATTGAAATCACTTATTAATAATTATGATTGATCAATAGTTTTGTAGATAGTCCAATTTGATTAACTAAAATACTGTTTCTCAATTTACATGAACTGTAATCTTTTCTCTTCATACAAAACTATTGATAAAGGATATAAGTTATCACACACACAACTTTACCAGCTGTTAATATTTTTATACATCTGAACATCAGTGAGCAAGTTACAATTTCCAGAAATAAATACTTGGCAAAATCTTTAAACAAACAATAAAAGCAGCTTGAGAGAGTTTGTACTGTCGTAGAGAAATGAGATTTAACATCCTGAAAATGTAAACAAGCGTAAACATTTTTTATGCCTATCCCAATTTGAATGCATTGTTTATATTCATTTGATTACATTCCAATTAAAAGTTTGTATATCCTTGAACAATAATATTTCATTTGTAGTCCAATTTAAAGCATAATATTTATATCAAGTAGACAGTAATAATATAGTGTAAAAATTTTTCACATCATTTAGTCATTTTAAAATATCTCATTTAGTACTTTAGTATCGTACTTTACGAACTGTTAAAAATAAATGAATAAATAAGTAAGTAAAATAAAAATACGACAGTTCAGCTTAATAAAAATTTATACTTTTCAATGACTAAATTTTTCTTTTGAATAATTTATATCTTATCATATAAATTGAAAAAATAAAAATTCTTGTTTTAATATTAAAACATATGATATTTCTGGCAGCTTAACCGCCTATCTCCAGCCAAATTGCCTCATGTGCAATTATTAAATAGCCTTGATATAACCCATTAATAAATCATGCAGATCATTTATAAGTTTTTAAAAATTATTTAGGAAATTCAAAACGTCAAAACTTATTTTCAATTACACTACAATTTAAATATTGAGTTTGAAGTTAAAAAACATAAGTTCAATGGTAAAAAAAAAGGAAACTGTTATTGATACTTTGGCAACTTTACAGATTAGATTAAGTATAAAAGTATTAATGTACTCAAAAAGAGCTTGACATTAAAAGAAAAAATGCATTTCATTAAAAAAAAAAGCTAAATAAAACCAATGCCTCCCATTTATTAACAATATAATTGAAGTAATTCTATTTCAGAAGTTCACAAATCCAATATACAATATAAGTAAGCAAATTATTTTGTTATAATTTAGCTATTAAAAACATCAGTATTTTCAAATAATATATTAATTACCATTCTTCATGCAACATTTGAATATTCATCTTTAAGAGAATAACTTTATAAATTTTAAAATGCTCAAGAAGAAATAAATTTTGTTAGTATTGCATCCATTAATAACAACTACACTATTGTAGTCTTTATCCGACATTTTTGGGATCCAGTTAGTGGCAGACCACAGAAATAACTGGCAGTTTACAATGAATTACTATGCGTCAAGTGAATGGCTTCATTCATATATTAATCATCATAAAATGAAATCAAAAATGCTTTCTGGAGAAGCAAAATTTACAGAAAATAAAATATTTGAATATATTTTTAAAAATTTATCTTTAACTGCAGTGAGGTTTTAATTTTAAAAATGTTATAAGTATTTATTGCATAAATCATAGCTTTATAAGAAAAATCAAGATAATTACAGCTTTTAGGAGTTCAAAAAAAACTTTCAAATAATATCAGAAACACTTTGCGGCACAAGAATGAACCAGCACCTCAATGCTGCCAAAGAACCGCTCTGGCAACTGATCCACAAACTAATAACTGCAGACTGTAAACATACTGAAGAGTAGACATCTCAACTGTAGTTAATAAATTTTTTCCTCAAAACTATTATTTGTGAAATTTTTTATGCATAATGTAAAAAACGGGAATAATAAACTGAATTAATATATCAAAATCATACAAGTGAAGCATTTACTACATAATTTGTTATATTTGTTTTGTAATACCTTAAAGACAATATTTCAATTTATTGATTATATGGTGATTTTTAAATTATGGAAGTACTGATTTTCAAAATACCATCCTTACAGAAATCCTTTCAAAGTTCTTAAATAATTGAAGATTTTTTCTGCCATTCTATTATCATTTGGATCAATCTGTAAATCTTACTATTTTTTGTTTTATACAAATTATTGTATTGTTAATTTATTAATCCACCCACAACTATGCTTGACTAAATGCTAATAGAAAAGTGTAACAAAACAGCTACTTATAATAATAATTAATTGAAGTAAGTAATTTTGACTTTGAATTCTGAATTCAGTTCTCTAATGAATGTTTGGAGGAAGCTAAAAAAATACTCCACCATGCTCCTGTTGCAAATTATTAATGCAAAACAAACTGTCAGATTATTTATCAGGTCATAATGAGGCTAATTACTTTATGCCTAATCATTAAATTAGCCTTGTTATGGTCTGATAAATAATTTTGGCAGTTTGTTTGAAATTAGTAATTGAGTCGGGTTGACATATGTGCTGTTACGAATTGTTTTGTCTATTAATAAAGAAACTAAGTCAGAAGGTAACTTATAGTTAACTTACTTTATGTATACCAATTAATTACTTATAGGTTGCTTATGATGCTATATAATGTCAAATAACATGTAAACTCTTTGATAAACAGCATTATAATTATTAATAGTTTTGTTTTTTAATTCCAATACATAGAAAATTCAAACAGAAACAGGCTTTAAATATTTCACAATGCAATGAGGATCTGTAACACACATTTTTTTCTTTTTATAAGAACATTTAAAAAAATAAAATTACCTTTCCCTATCACTACAATCAGCTGATGTCCCATAATCAGCAACTACTGGTAGTAATGACGGTCTTCTCCTCACATGTTGAACTATTTGCTCATTTTCACGAAAACGGTCTAAAGGATAATCAGCTTGTCTCTCGACCTAAAATAAAAAAAATTCTTTATGAAAACAGTATCAGCAGCACCTATTTGTCGTTAAATATACCATAGATTATAATATTTAACACATTTTCAATTAAATATTGCTATATCTAACATTTATATTCATAAGTTTGTATTTGTGCAATTCATAAATTCTTTATGTACTACATAAAAAAATTTTCGTGTAGTGTATCATTTCATTGCAAAGTCATTTGTAATAACATCTTATTGTTTTCAAACAAAATTATTAATTATGTATCAAATACAACACTTACTGTTTTAGATAAATTTACATTTCTGCTATACTTTTTGGTAGTAATACATTAAAAGTAGTTTGAATACTGTTTTAGTGCAAATGATAAAATTACTAATTTTATGCATACTAAGATAAAAAAAAAAGGTACTTTCAGGTTTTCCTTTAAACATCTATTTTTTTTTTTTGTTGTTTAAATACTAACATTCCTTTAAAAAAGTCAATTGAATTGTATTCATTCTATTAAATTATTTTCAATAATTAACTCTTAATAAAATGTATGAAGTCCAAGCTTCTATCTTAGAATAATTTTCAGAAATTTCAAGAAGGTAATATAATATCATTCAGAATAGTATAATAAACATTTACTGCTCTAGAGAGAGAAAATGTGTTCATTATATTTTAGCATTGCATTAAGTGATGTTACATTGAGACTTAAAATCAAATTTTTTGTATTTTCTCAAAAATTATAATTTGCTCGAAAAAAGATTGAATGCCTTATAAACCAAAATCTTACAAACAAAAACAATGTAGTATCTTAAAGAATGACACCGAATGATAGTTAATGCATCATTAAACTTGTCTTTTTACTTCTGTAAAAACAAAAAAGAATAAATGAATAAATTAAAAAACATTGACAACCTTCAAGTCTTTAAATAATCTTTTACAGTGTATTGATTGCTGTAGAATCAAATAAATTAATCCTGAATTTTCCAATTTTCAAAATACTGTATATAAATATTTAACCATTTATAAATTTTTAATTCATTTCTTTCATTAAAAAAATTATTTAAAGTAAACTTATACAAATTATAACAACTTTACCATACTCTATTATTTATTACATATTCCATTTACAGAATGCACTGATCTTAAATTCAAGCGCTATATAAAAATTATTTATGTAAAGATTAAAATACAACTCACTTATCACAATCATTAAATTCCCCAAAGAATTTAATGCTAATTCACTTTTATTATGATATTACATTATTCACCGAATCAAACTTTTATCAGTGTGAGATGTTTACTTTTTTTTTTAATTGCCTGTCAAGGAAAACAAGCTGAAAGATTTACTGCTACAGGAAAAATTTAAATAAGTTCAGTAACTGATAAGATCCAGAAATCAGTCACTTGAAAAAAATTAATGATAGTGCCAGAGCCAAACTTAGGGTGGGGCGATCATGGACACAGAAAGTAGTGTCTCTCAATGCTGCCTACAAATTACAATATTTTAATTGATACAAATTGTGCATTTTTTCAAAATACATATGAAGAACAAACTGTCAAATCTAGTAAGCCTAAATTTTATATACTGTATGTTAGTTAAAGCTAAGAGATTACTACAAAAACTAAAAACATCATCGATAATTTATACATACAAGAAATACTAATCTAGTAATATGAAAGTATTTTCCTTAAAAATAATAAATAAATAAATAATTTTTATTTTCTTAACAATTTAACATTACATTTTCTGGAGGAAACATCACATGTGGAGAATGTTGAAAATAAAACAACATATACTAAATATCTCACATTACTATCTGTACATTCCAGATAGCATATAATTTATATTTCATATTGTTTTTCTTCATAAAATCTTAAAATTTTAAGAAATAATATTTAATTTATAAATAATGCAAAATTATTTTCAATTTCAATCCATACTGCCATCATTAAAATGTAGTTCTCATTTCTTTATTGTTATATGTATTTTCATAACTATCTTTAATACTTTATTTATTAAAATTTTAAATTTAATAAAATATTTAATAATAAATGTTATTAAAAACTAAAAACTATAGCAATAATACTGAATAAATACTTGATTTTTAGTAACAGTTCATAAACATATTCTAAATATGACACGAAAGTGATAAAAATCATAGTAATAGATTAGATTTCTACATTGTATTTATTTAAATATAATAGTACAGTAGAGCCTCGATTATCCGACCCGATTAACCGATACCTCGGTTAACCGACCGTCCTAGTCGGCAAATTTCAAATGTCCGCTAGTGATCTGGCGCTACAATATTTGGCTATGTCTTGGCTACTTTAATATTATTTTTACTGTTTTAGCTGGCAACACTCATTCGACCACGAAAGGGAGCCAGTATTTAAACGAGGCTTAATTTCCTAATTTTTAACGATACAATAGCGACGATTATTATTTTTAAAAATGTTTGTTAGTCTTAACATCGATGAAAATTCAATGCGAAGTAGGTTAATAGCGATATACTAATATACTAATTACATGGGATATAATAATATACTACACTAATAATGGATTTTTTCACACTTTTCGGTTATCCGACCAACCCCAGTCCCCAATTGAGTCGGATAATCGAGGCTCTACTGTAAATGTTGCAAAATCGGTCATAAAATATATTATTTGAAAATCTGATTATAACTCCTTATATTTCTTTCATTTGTTTTTTTTTTAAACTCAAAATTGTAAAATGTTTCTACCTTCTGATTTAGATAATTGTAATTTCTTTTAAGTTATATCTTGATAAAATAATAATTATTATAAATTATTCTAAATTTAAGAACAATTGTATGAAATAAAATCATTCATGCAATACAAATTACAAGATAATCAATAAGTTAATCTGAAATACTGATAAAATGTGTTTTATTAAAAATCTTTAAACAATGAAAAATATCATTATGAATCATGTTAATGAAATTAATATTAATTTAAGAATAGGACAACACTCTTAAATTGTATTCACTAATTAAGAACAAGGGAAAAAAAGCACAGAGCTGGTGCATTAAAAAAAAATTTACATTTGCTGGCTCAAAACCAAGAATTTGATGTTTTTTAGTGTTCTAGCTTAGAGTTAATTTTTTCTTTCATTACACATCAGCATGGCCTGAAGTTAACATTCATTAACTAACAGGTCAAACCAACTATAGCACTATGTCAAATGCACATTTATGTATGACATTACATTAATTTAAAAAAAAAGTTTTAACTTCAACAACATAATACACTGACTACTACATTGTATCTTAGTTCAATTATATTATTTTTGGTTACATTTTTGTTTTTGTTTTTGTTTTTTTTTTTTACTGGTAACATTATAGAATTTAATAATTTTCTTACAATTTATATATTATGGATTTGGTCAAATAAAAATTTGATTTTAAGTGGTTGATCACAATCCAATTTTTTAAATTCCATTTCATTAAGATTATTATTATTAATTATCAATAAACAAACGTTTTCTTTTTTGAATAAAATACTGAATCATAAACCAACATCTGTAAATTCGACGTACATATGTAACAAGACAACAACCACTGGATTATATTGGGCTATTATATCACAATTATTTTAAATTAATTACTAAATAATTTGTCACTAGAGGGAAAAGTTAAATGCCAACTCTTATTAGATTTAATAATTATATTAAAATTAAATAATTTAGAAAATTCTGGAAGAAAAGAATCAGCCTGGAGCAGGACTTGAACCCACAACTGCTACATACCATGTGAATGCGTTACCAGTTACACTATCTGAGCCTCCAGTCTGATCTTCTCTTCCAGATAATAATATAATTATTAAATCTAATAAGAGTTGGCACCGAATACCTCCTCTAGTGACAAATTATTTAGTAATTAATGTAAAATAATTGTGATATAATCTGATAGTTGTTGGCTTGATACTGAATCATCATAATCAATAAGAACTTTTCAGAAAAAAAATTTTTCTCAGAACTGCCTTTTCTTCCTTTTATATTTAAATAATGTTATATCTACAAATTATTATGTCTTGTTAGTGTCTGTTGTTCTCCAATATTAATAAAAATATTCTACAATTTTCAACAACTTAAAAGGAAAAATTATTTTTATCTACATTAAAGAAATTTTCACCTACAAACACTTCATCAAACAATAAAAATCAAGAATAATTTTGACATAATATAAATACTAAAAATTCTAGTAAACCCTTTTTACTTGAAAAATTCTATTACTTAAAATCAATATATAATAAAACACAAACAAGCTTCAAACATAAAATTAAGTAAAGAATTTTTTGATGAGTAATCTTATCCCTATCTGTTAAGTTTTTAATTAGTTCATTTATTTCTCTTCTAATATAGTTAAAGTAGAATGATCAAATGAACCCAAAAATATTTTACCTATCTATATAAATAAAAATGTAAATGTTCATTTGTTCAAAATCTTAAATCTCCGAAAGTTCTTAACCAATTGCTTTGAAATTGTGACACAACATTGCATTTAAATATAGGTGTGTTTTTATATTATATAGATGTCAAAATTCCTCCCGTGGGGGAGAGGTACAAAATTAAGGCTTACTGTGAAGAACCGGTCTTCTATTATTCTATTTTAGATGTGGCTTTTTGCATTTTAATAGGGTATGTTAAAAAAATGTACACTAAAAGAAGGGATTTTTTGAAATTCCCCCTGCAAGAAGTGTTATACATCTATAATAGATACATTTTGAGCCATAGCAATGTGTGGCCAGGTACATCTAGTAAAAAAGAAAATGCAATGATTGACCTAATGAATGATGCAGTAATTATATCAATAGAACAGTTTATTAAAAAAATAAAAGGCTTTTCTCTATTTAATTGGTTTTTATTAGAAAAGTAAACATTAGCATATATTCAGAACTCTTATCTAAAACTTTTCATTAAAAATAGTTTCAAGTAAGTATAAATCTTTTACAGAAAAAGCTTATTCAAAGTTGATAATTAAAATCATATCTTTTCACACACATAAAAGGATTATATTAATGAGAATATGTTTCAATTT